TCCAGAGGGATGCGGAGGACAAGCTCGCGCCAGCAGCCACTTGGCGTGTCCAGCCCCGTGGTGCAAAAGGGGATGTGTTTTAAGTATTGCAACTTCTTGAATCTCTTGTTATCTTGTCACAGAACAGGAATGCAATTGACAGGCTCAGGATATGCAGCCACAGTCTCTTAGTGCTGTTTAAACATAGAAAACAATACCGTATCCTGTCCTGGCTATGCAAAATTATTTGTCAGCTGGTTGGAATACCATTCCTTTTCTGGACAATTAGACCACCGTTTCTTCAGCAACTTCGACTTTTCTGTCTTTTTGAACAGCAGTGTGGATTATGTTATTCACCTTTATTTATTTCTCACTCGTTAGTAAAGCAGGTGGGCCTTTGGCTGCAGTCAAGTTCTGTCTACAAGTGCGTGGTTCCAGAGAGAAGTGATTCTGCATTTTAATTTATCCTCCCCAGCTATAAAAACTTTTTTGTTGTTGTTTTGTTTTGTTTTTTTTTTAAATCTTTTCACCATTAATCAATACATGACCATACTATTGCAATCCTTTGCGGTCAACAGGAATTTATGAGAGCCCCTTGATGTCAAACCAACTGTTTCTATACCTTGTGTGACAAGAATCCAAAAAATGCTCATGGATTATATATATTAGAGGCAAATTTTTATAGTCTCTATCACGCTAAAAGACTCAGGTGCAAACTAATGTAAAGGCGATGCTATTTTCTGGACCTATAATGTTTCTGCTGAAAGTGTCACGTTACACTATGGGAGATGTAAGTGCTTGCTAAATCATAAGTGAAAACCTTAATGAGGGCTGGTTATGCATACAGCACGGAAAGTAATTTAACTTAATACCTCCAGTTCAGGTTTCAGCCTTGAGAACTCTGCAGATTCTTTTATTTGTGCTTAAAGATGCTGTACAGCATTTGATCCTTCTTGGGATCGTGGTAGTGTTAACTCTCCCATCTTGGCCAACTGGAAATTAAATTCTCTCTCGCTCAGTTTCCCCTGTGGTCCCAACTGGATGAAAGAGTTGCAGGGTTGAGTAAGACCAGGGGCTGGCTGCATCCAGAAATTCAAAATTGCTTTGGCAATTTCAGCCTTGGTGGGTGTCGCCGAAGGGGCAGGACGGTCTCGGTGCAGAGAGCGTGGGACCACAGCAGGGGTGGGGGTGACAGGGTCTGCTGACACCCGTGGGGCTCCAGGCTCCCTCCTGACAAAGGTGCTTCAAACAAATAGCACTTTCAGGGCAGAACCCTTCCCCTTTTTCTCATACTGCAACTGCAGCCCAGAGGCTGTAACCACAGGCACGCTGGTGTTGGCGTGCGGGGTCGTCTCTGGTTCCACCTTGTCCCCAGAGCGGTTCATTTTTGGGTCCAGAATGGCCCAGGGCAGAAGCTGAAGGCAAACAGCCAGTTGCACAGTCAATGCCTTCAGCACCAGTTACAATCACGCAGCCCTGAAAATCATAAAATCTTTTCTGACCTTTGCCAGAGCCCCCAGAAGAGGTGAAAAGGTGCCAAATAGCTTGGCACACATCCCTGAAGGGACGGGGTGGTGGTGGGAATACTATAGCTCTGGTCTTCCTCAGGCTGGGAGATGTTGAGACCACATCTCCTACTTCTTGTCCCAGCGCCTGGCCTTTGATGCCCTGAAGTAGGCAGCAGCCTCCAACTCGTTGCTTGCCCATGCTTCAAAGCACGAATGAGCCCCAGCCCACCTTTTGGAAGGACCCTCCAGAGGAAAAAAACAAAACAGGTCCTGGATACTTTGCAAACAAACCAAGTGGGTTTTAGGACCTTCTTCTCCCTGAAACCTGTTGACTGGCAGCCCGTGGTGATGCCTGTCTCAGTCTATGGTGGTGGGACTGGGATTTGAGGGGCCCGTTTACCGCAGAGGCTTTGTGGGGAGCCTGGCAGCAACTTCTGCCCTTAAACATCTGGGTCCTCTGGGCCAGTGGGGCAAACAGGTTGAAGTGGCTCTGGTTTGAATTAGTCACGCAGGGAACACAAACAGAGGCATCACCATGGCCTTCAGAAACGGAGTTCCCACACAAGATGAAAGGGAGAGGGAGCCGCTGTGAAATAGTTTGTACAAGCAGAACTAATGAAGTTTTCACATTACAAATATGACCCAGGAACAAGTCATTATTTTTCAGGGTAGCTTCTAGTCTTCACGTTCACTGACGGCCATGCAAACTGTCCATCGGTGGCAGAGCGGGCTCCGGTGGAGGGAGATCCATCTGGGGTGTCCCATAGAGACTTGCCAAGAACCCCCCCTCTGAAGAGCAACACCCACTGCCAGCCCACCAGCAACAGACCCCAGCCTCTGCCCACCCAATGCCAGCCCCAACGAGGAGAATGCAGCCTGAAGGAGGTGGGTGTCAGTGGACACTTTGGGTCCTGGAGGGGAAGGGAGGAAACCAGATTCACTTCAGTGTCCAAAAAGGGATGAGGGACTCCTCGGCAGGAGAACAAGAGTCAGTGCAGGGCAGGGTGGCAGAGCTGGGGCTGAAAGGGGACAGGTAGGAGACATATTCCCTGCTCTGACAGGGCAATCGGTCCCTACACACAAACCAAATCTGCCCTGGAATCAATCAGATGTGGTCACGCCTGACGGGGGCTGATGTTTCTCATCTTCTTTATTTGTATTAGATTATTGCTGCTTTTCCTTCTTTGGACTTGTTCTGTCTTTGGCTTCAGTTGCGTGACTTCTGCCATTATGCAAACTTGAAATACATTTTTTTTCCTTTTTTTTTTTTTGGTCTTATGCTTAGCAAATTGTGCAACGACGCTTCACTGGGACCAGAGAGCTCCAAACTGGTGAGATGGGCAAGAACAGGAATAAGATGAGGACATGAGGAACCCCATTGTGTTCACTTCAAGCCACTCTACTAATAAAGGTGACCTAGAACTGCACCTAGGACTGGACTCTGGTCCCCGTATTTATAAAGGAAAAGTCTTGATAAAGCAGGTGCCAAGATCTTGAACCTATTAACTGGTTTTCCATTGCTTCTCTGGGCATGGCTGAAATTTCTGCCATCAAAAGTGGTTTTTATTTGGAGGTGGTGAGGGGAAGGCATCTCTTTCTTCAACACAAAAGCCAAAAATACCAGACCTGCTCCTGGTCCCCTTCATTATCCAGTCCTAAACCAGCTACCTCTCTCTACCCCAAAGTGAGTGTATATATTCTATGCATGCTAAAATGCCAATATAACCAGGAGCCAATTTTTAAGTACTTAAAAACCACAGTTTTACAGGTATGCTACATTCTACTGATGGGAGAAAAAAAACCCCCAAGTATTAAGGCTAACAAAATGCTTCAGAGGAGCCAGCCAAGGACCGCAGCGGGGCTGGAGCAGCTCCAAAGCCAAGACTGGGCCAGGAGCTGCAGAGAACTTGCCAATTCCTGCTGCTCTCTCTTGCCTTTCCCGAGTGCTCATCCCTCACGTGTCCCAGTCAGGCTCTTCCACTGCAGCATCACTCGGTGCTTGCCGGTCTCTGTCTCACTTGGCTTCTTGTCTTCTCCATTATTGAAGTTAATGCTGCCTTACCAGCCTGGTTCCTTCCACAAAAGCCAACATGAGAGTTATGTTATGGAACTAGGACGTAGCGGTGGTGGTGCCAACTATAAAAGGTTTACATGTAGCTCATGCAGACGACCAGAGGAGTTCTTGGGTGGAGGAAAATTGTTTTTATCAGAAAACATAAAAGTTTTTGAGCACACAGGTGCCTCTCAGCTTTAGTATGTCACTAAAACTTAGGTGGCAGATGCTCCCTCAGCTTCTAAGGGGCAGAGAGAGGTAGCTTTGCACCCCTTGCAGCGCTACAGACCGGGGGCAGAGGGGCTGGAGAGCTGCCCAGCAGATAAAGACCTGGAGGTGTTGGTGGGTGAATGGCTTAATATGAGCCAGCAGTGTGCCCAGGTGGCCAAGAAAGCCAACAGTACCCTGGCTTGTATCAGGACCAGCGTGGCCAGCAGGAGCAGGGCAGTGATGGTGCCTCTGTGCTGGGCACTGGTGAGGCCTCACCTTGAGTGCTGGCTTAAGTTCTGGGCCCCTCACCACAAGAAGGACATTGAGGTGCTGGAGCGTGTCCAGAGGAGAGCCACCAAGCTGGTGAGGGGTCTGGAGAAGAAGTCCTCGAGGAGAGGCTGAGGGGACTGGGCATGTTTAGTTTGGAGAAGAGGAGGCTGAGGGGAGACCTCATTGCCCTCTACAACTCCCTGAAAGGAGGGTGTAGAGAGGAAGGTGTTGGCCTCTTCTCCCAAGGGAATAATGACAGGAGCAGAGGAAATGGTCTGAAGTTGGGGCAGGGGAGGTTGAGATTAGATATTGGGAAGAATGACTTTCCTGAGAGGGTGGTCAGGCACTGGAACAGCCTGCCCAGGGAGGTGGTGGAGTCACCATCCCTGGAGGGATTTAAGAAACGTGTAGAGGTGGCACTTCAGGGCCTGCTCTAGTGCCCGGGATTGTTGGGTTGTGTCTGTTCGTGGGTTGGTTTTTTTGGTGTGTTTTTGTGGTTGGACTTGTTGATCTCAAAGGTCCCTTCCAACCATGAAGACTGTGATTCTGCACTGAGGAACACTCCGTGTGTGTGTCTGCAGGACCTGCTCCCCCCGGCTGGCTCTGCCCCCCCTGCCCCTCCTGCCTGGGCCTGGATTATGGCCGTGGACCCCAGGCCCTGCCCAGACCCACCGCACCGCGCAGTGACGGGCATCACCAGCACGGACAGAGCCCTCACAAGCCATTCCAACCCGACCCACCTGCCCGGGTGGTGCCTTGGAACAAGCACAAACTGAAAACTAACACTTTTTTTTTAGCTGCACGGAAAAAAGAAAAAAAAAAGCAAAAAAAAAAAGCCAAAGTTGTTTTCTTTTCATTGACACAGATCCTTCTGCCAAGGACTTAAACCCACACTCGCAGCCTTTTTGTAAGCAGTTCCTGCTCCTGAGTTACAGCCCTGAAAGCGCAGGAAAAAAAACTGAACAAGGAGACGGGACAGAAAAGTTGAATGAGCATTGGCTCTTCTTATTTTAATGAAGAAATCTTTCAAGTTAATATCAGTGCATATTTAGAAATAGCATGTGATACTCCCAACGTCAAATACATCAGCAAATTACAGTTTCAAAACTTTATAAATTAATGGCAAGAAAAATATAATTAAGATTAACACAGAGAATAAGGTTCAAAATAAACATCCTGTTTGTTGGTTGCGACTGTGTCATCTACATTCCTGGTACTTAAAACAGCAAGAGAGATCCAGTACTTCGTGGTAATCAGGCTCTCCGAAACAGCAGTTATTTTTCTACAAATGAATTAAGCAGTTTGCATTCGTTTTCGATGTCTTAATTAAATGTTACTCTTAGCTGTCACCGTGAAGTTTAGTCGTGTCAGAGTAAACTTTTCATTCTGTGCTGGTTGTCCCCACTGCACCGCTCGGCTGAGAATGGGAAGAGCTACATGGGAGCATGTTTGGCTGTTACATAAAATAGGTTTGCCTTATTTTTTTTATTTTTTTTTATTTTTTCTGGTTTCACAGCCTCCTAACAATACTGTTTTTCAACGGTGTTCCCAGTCATTGTTTTTCAAAGGGTTCATCGACATATCCTGAATCAATCACCGATATAAATAACTCCGGTGACAAAACCCATTATGGAAGGACACAGAACTGCAAACTGAACGTCGTGCCGAATCATTTTAAGGTGGAACTGTAATTACTCTATCAAATAGTGTAAAAAAAACCCAAAAACCAACACAAAAAAAAAACCAAAACCCACACAGTAAAAGCAGTATCTTTAATTGACTGGCAATGGTGGAATCTGAAAAACTGAGTTATAATTTCAAGAGACATTTAACTCATGATGGACTCTAACGCAAGACAAATTGCACTGAAGCTAAAAAGAGATGCACATTTAAAGCTTGCAAGTGTGATATAAAAATATTCTCTAGTTCTTTCATTTTTGATACAGGGAATCTGATTCCCTAACGGAAGAAGATCAAGGACATCCTCTTTCCTACCCCACTGCTGTCCGTACAGACTTGATATCAGGAAACCAACAAAAACACCAGCCCCGGGAATGGCAGACTTTCTGCTAGTAAGGATTTGTTGATTTTGCTTTAGAAAGTATATTTTCAAGCAGGTGAAATACTGGATATGCGTTTCTTTCACTACTGGCCTGTTGTGCAAATGGCATACAGCCGACCCCAGAGGGAGAGGAGCGCCGGGCCACCAAACATCAGGCTAAACCACATCAGTAGGAAAAAGGCACACGCTTGGGATTTAGCAGGAACACCTGAAGGTTCCTCGTCCCCATACCCTCACGCTCCCCCCAAAACCACAGTTTGCTTCCAGAAAAAAAACAACAACAGCCAGCAGCACCCCCCGTGCGGTGACAGGAAAGGCGGGAGCGTTCCCCGCTGCGTATGGCACGTAGGCAGGAGAGGCTGGAGCTCCCCAGGAGCCGGGGAGAAGGCAGGCAGCTGGGCAGGCTGCAGCCCAGGGGGGCCAGAAACCAAAATCTTGGGACATTTCATTAACACCACACACGCTCCTTTTATGCACAGACACAAGCTGTTTGCTCAGGGAAATTTCAGGTTTTTGCATGTGGTAAATGATGGGCTAACACTGCAATATCAGCCAAAAGTCATGCGCTAGGATAAACGGAGCTTCTTCCCCATGAACAGTCCTCCTCAGGAACCTTTTCTTCTGCTTCAGGGAACGTCTCACGCATCACTTAGTCCCTTTTCAAGAGCACAGTATTTAGCGAAAACTGAAAAGCAAAAGTTTTAATTGAAAGAAAACAAAAAAAAAAAGAAAACAAGTTTTGCTTTTAGTCGCGATACAGCTGGGATTGGTGCATTGCAGCAGCTCAGTTGCATCTAAGAGTAACGAAAATTCAACATGAATATCAGAAGAATAAATATATACCCTAAATTAATCTCTGTAAATACATTCACAGGTCCACTTAAGACACCCTTATGCATAACTCGTACTTCATCGAATCTGCATTTAGAGATGGCTGTTAGTTCATGGGGAAAGCAATTTATCATACGACTCGGTTTATCTGTCATTATTCCGGCAAAAATCAGTAGCAAATTTGAAAATCTACATTTATTTTCCCCAGACCAACCACACAGAGGCTTAAGTCACAAGTTCTATTATTTCCAATGTTCAATCGATAAGGCTTTATTTACACTTTTTAAACTATAAAGTCAGGAAAAAGTTTGGTGCAATGTGCAAGAAAAGACTGCACATTTCACTGATTGGAGACTAACATCTGCTTATGGTTTAATGCTAACCCACAGGCAGCCAATTAATGTCCCATAGATCCATGTTTTTACATAAAGTTTCCTTCCAGACTCTGTCAGAAGCATACTAGCAGTCAGGCCACCTAAAAACAGCAAAGATGGCAAAGTTTTCTTGAGGCTTAGTTTGGAATGAACGCTTTTTCCAGGGAACTTATTTCTTCTTTTAGAATCCTTCGCATCGTAAAACTCTATTAGTAACCTGAAAGCAGACAAAAGGAGATGGACAAAGTTACGCATCAGCTTCAGCTTTAGGCAACTGACTTTCATCCAATAACTGCTTCAAAACACACATTATTTAAGAAACAATTTAACAAGGGGCAGCAGCTTATTTCTAACAAGTTTAAGGAATCAGGACGCCTTCAGAACATGAAGCAAAGTCCCTTTACACACCAGGGAACTCAGCCTCAACCCTTGGGAGCAACAAAAGCGCATTTTCCAGAGGGACCAATGTTAACACTGAAGATAAGAGCTGAGAGGAATCCTTTTCATTCAGCATTTAGCAAATAAGCAATATCATGGGACAAAATAACAGACAGTTAAACCACTGAGGGCAGGGAGGGCCTTATCTTCATGGAATAAACTAGTAACAAACAGGCAAGAGTGAAAATACTACACCATAGGTTTAGTAGTAATTGTTTTCTCCTGGTTTTGAAAATCAGTAATAAATGGATTTGAAAATGCTGAGGTTTTAAGTATCTCTCAATTTGCCTGACAGACTGCTCTGGTCCCAGGAAAGAAGTTCCAGCCAACAGGCGTCTACAACGAGACACAGATGATCAGGGTTCAGTTTTGCTGGTCTTCACCAGAAAACTATTTGTGGGCCACAAATTTTGTTTTGTGCCTTTTATTTTATCCATCAGTGACTTGTCTATCAAACGAAATTCAGACTTTTTTTGCCTCTCGAAAGCGAAGAAAAGAAAAATAACTTAACAATCCTAAACTTCTCAGACACTTGGGTACCAGCACCGTGTCTGCAGACAGGCATGTTCACTTTTCACAGGGATTCAAAGATCATCACGGGACAAATGAACCCATTTTTTACTCCCGTGGAACGTGAGATGGGCAGAACAATTTCCAAGCAGAACGTGTCTGAAGAACCAGGGAGATTCCTAACTCAAATGTTATTCAGGGGTTTAGAAGGTAAACACATTTAGCTCCCTTAAATTGGACTTCGACCATCATGTCTCAAACAGGACTTAAATCTCACATTGAGGCCCAAGGTCCCCCAGGATCTGTTGCACATCCTCACTGGTGACCTGATCTGGAGATGCTGGAGGGAGCCAGGCACTTCAGTTCTGCCATGATTCAAAGAGGGACAGATAAAACTTCTTCCTCACCCCGTTTCCCCAGTGAAGGTAAGAATCTCAGGGATATTTGTGATTTTATCCAGTCGCTGTCTGACGGAAGATGCATGAACAATTTTGGCAGAAGAGATTAGATCAAGACCTGTCCCTTTCTAACTCTAATTACAGGGCTAAAATCAAACTCCTTTTGCTTCCTTGCCTACCTTGAGCATCTCCTGGCTCTGCATAACTCAGCTTCAAGAAGATAAATGGAGAGTATTCAGATGAATATGAGTCTTGCCTGAAACACGGATTCCCAGCTCTTCAGCCTAAGGAAAGCCTAAACCCCAGGGATCTCAGTCTCCCGAGCACAAGCTTTAATCCCAAAGGCAGGGTACAAAGCATGCCCAGGAGTGCCACCACCACCTCCCTTCAGAGAGCCCTACAGCTTGCACTGCTGCTAACACACAAACCCTGGGTACATCTGTTAATTTAGAAGAAGGGAGCCAGCTTCTTGAAGCAGGGAGTTCTACAGATCGCTACTCACTTATCCTTTATTTCAAAACGTTCATGGAGCCACCTTCTCATATACATCTGCTCTTCTGGAATGTCCTTCAGTTCAATTCGATCGATGAAAATATGAACTCTTGGGCATTCCTTGCAAAGAAACTCTAAAAAGAGAGAGAAAAAAAACCAGGACTGGGTTACAGAAACATTGTAAAGCATTTATTTGTCTAAAATACGCTGAAAAGCCGACCTCATAGTAAGTTCAAAGTGCCTTGGAAGCCTGTTTCAGTTTCCAAAAGCCTCCCTCTTTATGTCCCGCATCCTGAGCACTTCACTGAACTCAGAAGCCATCTGGCCTACATGGTTTTGAAAAGGTGGCCCATTCTCATGCGCGGCGTGGAAACGCTGTCCTAAAATGCACCTCTGTTAACTGTAAAATGCTGTGCTTGACTATGCTACACCCCTACCTCAGCAGCAATCCATGGGATGCAAGAACTTTGGTGTCATCAAATGATCCAGCCTGCAATTTTGATTAAAGTCAGGAATGCTCTTTGTTCGTCCTTTAAAAAAAAAAATCTAAATTTTGTTTGCTCCTGGATGACAAAATCTGAATTACAGTGGTTTCCCAAAGCATCTCCAGGAGGAAGTGGGCTTCAGTTTAAGTAATAACCTATAATTAAAAAGTGTAATAGGGCAAAAGACTCAGAACAAAACAGTGCTTTCTGTTTGGCAGCCCTTCATTTTTCTTCTGTCACACGGCACTGCAAAGCCTGAGACAGCCTCTTGGAACCCCCCGTCCCCCATTTCCTCAACCTCCCCCTAAAAAATGTAGCAAGCAAGTGTTAGGCCAGTTGCAAACACAACTCTGTTACTCCAATTAGCCTTGTGGGATTTCTGACAATTAACAAGTGGTGAAAGTACTGCATGTGGGACGAAAAACCCATTAGTGCTCATTTGCATTTATCAGCAGCAAGGGGTGTTGCAGCAACTCTAGCATCCCTGGACGAAGAGCCGCACGGCCTGAGGGTGGAAGTCCTTGGGAATGTGGGCAGTCTTTGTATTTTGAGAAGAGACCACAAGTCTCTTCCTACAATATAGATGGGCAACACATTTAACACAGCCCGGGTGGTCCTTTAAGGTTGTTGACATTTTTTGGACAGCAGCACAGATGTACAGAAGACTTTGACCCTTCACTGTTAGGGGTATCTCGAGGAGTGACTCTGCAAAGTAACTGTCACTGCATGCACATCTTTATTATAGTCTGCCAAGCAGACAGCCCCCAATTTGTTTCTCTTCTTTACAGGATTATTTATTTTTTAAGGACTTTGCCGTTAGAGCAATCCTTATCATACACTAGAAATTGCCTTAAAGAATTTTAAAAGCCTGTTCATGCAAATGTCTTTGCGTGCTTGGGGGGGAGAGGGGAGGGCAGGATGAAGAGCTAAAGCCCCGAGGGCAGCCTTGCAGCATTTTGGGGCTGACATTTGTAAGGTTTTGTGTGCGGCCTCTCTGGTCCTCGGGCAGAGAGTGCCCTTCGCTGAACGGCACCGTAGACTAAAGGGAGCAACCCGGCCCAGGCCCCACCACCTGAAGAAATGGCTTGAGGGCTCTCACCAGAAATAAGGCCACCTCTGAGCCGTGGGGCAGCAGCTTTCTGGTAGAACTATCTCCAGGCTCCAGCTGTCAGGTGGCAGGCAAGCTGGAGTCTGGAACGATGGTGGGTACGGACATTGTCTCCAGGTTGACGTGCAACACTTTTGCTAACCACAAAGCAAGCAGCTCTTGCCTCTTGCTTTTAATGGGAATAAAGCATTTTCCAGGTCTGTTTCTCTGAGGATACTATCCAGGCCACTGTATGAAGGTCATTCACTACATGAGCACCTAAAAGCATACTATTAATATTTTAAGATGACAAATGTATTATCCCTGTCTTAACTGCTTCTAACGTTCACTGATGTATAAATCCTCTTTTGGAGTGGCATCACCTATTAAGTGGATCATTCTAAAAATATGCAAAACCGTATCTAGAAAACAAATGCCTGGAAGCCAGATTATGCGGTCTTTTTTGTCCTCGACTCCTATAAAAAGCACCTATGCTGTGCACGTTCAGCCAGCGCCGGAGATGTAGCTTTAGAAGGTGTTTGAAACATTCCGTGCATCGTAGAGCGTACATTTCATAGAATCATAGAATCATCTAGGTTGGAAGAGACCCTTGGGATCATCAAGCCCAACCATCTACCCTACTCTACAAGGTCATCCCCTACACCATGTCCCTTAGCACTGCATCTAAACGGCCCTTAAACACAGCCAGGGATGGTGACTCCACCACCTCCCTGGGCAGCCTGTTCCAATGCCTTGTTCCATGTAGGAATACACAACTCTTTCCTGATGGTATTGATAATCTCAGTTCTAAATTACTAAGGCAAATTAAAAATCGAGCAAAACTCTAAGTTAGATGAGATAGCATTATTAATAGCTATGTGGCACTTCTAAAAAAATATTTATATTTGGCCATTTACAGACAGCAACAGAGTATATTATCAATAATAAGCTCTAGTTAACAAACCAGGAATAAGATGTAAGTATTTCAAAAGAAACACCTTTCTCCACCAAAGCTGAAATGTAGTAACTCTACAAATCTGCTTAAAAAAGCAAAAAACCCTCCACAAATACCTCAACGTTGCTGCTGGTTTTCCCCCTGATGCCATGAAGCGGTCCCAGTGCCCGCTGACTGTACTGCTCCCACGCTGGTGTGTCTGCAGCCAGTCCAAACCTTGTCCCCACAATGTGAAGATCCCAAAACTTGGTCTCAGTTTCCCACCTCTGTAAAGCCCAGGGCTCTTCTCCCCAGCCCTGCTCTCTCTCCCTGCCCGGGACCTCCTGCAGCCTCGCCAAGGGCTGCGGCACCTCCAGCTGCTCCCCTGGAGAGGACAACTCCCACCCATCGACTCCAGGCCCTTCCAGCCAAGGCCTGGGCACCCAGGACATCTGCAGATGCCATTGTGACGCCTGCAATTGAGCTAGGCAGGGAATCTGACTAGTCTTTAATTATCCAATTACCCGGGGCTTAATGCAACTAATCCAAATTTTTGTTTTTTCTCTTTCGATGCTCAATGTCACTGCAATCACATAAGAACACCGCTGGATAAGAACAAAATTTTGAGAAGGAACAGCTGGATTTTATCACCGCGGCCTCTAAAGGTTTGTGGTGGTCCCACGACCCTTAATTTCACATTAGCCTAACTCCCCAAAGACTTACGTAATTAAGCTAAGAAACAAAATCTTATTGAAGCAATTTATTATGTGCAAATTACATCCAACTTCAGGGACACTAGCCCTTAAGGCCAACATCTGACTGGCTTTTAGATCCCTGAACTTGCCAGAATTTGTTATAATTAACAGCAGGAATAAGCAAGCCTGAACTTTCCTTCAAAAGATGCACCGTAAGTGCAGATCGTGCATTATAATCAACCATGATACCGAGGACAGCATTAGTCAACCAGGAACAAAGTACAATTTGGGTTAAATTCTATGATTCTAAATGAACACGAACAACTCGTGTGGGAGCCAAGTGGACTGACTTTCGTGGGGGAGATAATCTCCTAATAAAATTTCTATCTAGCTAAATGACAGATACGAGTGCAGAATGTTTGTAGTGCTTCTAGTGACCGGCCACAGCAGAAGGAAGGAATTAAAAATAATAAGGTGGATCAAACGTTTTTTGTTCTTAAACTGTGCCATGGTGGCCCTCCTGAGGGATGGGACTCACACGAACCCAGGGCTGAAGGATTCGGTGCAGAACCAGGATTAATGAATGGGATGCAGCAGCCTCCAGGAAAGGAACCGGATCCACGGAGTCTTTAATTGCAAACAGATGTTTTGGGAAGGTGTTTTGCTCTCGCTGAGGCTTCCACAAAGTTCTAGCAGTTTTCAGCTCCTCACCTTCAAAAGCCAATTAATTCTGTCTTGAATTATCAGCACTGCCAGGGAAAGTGAGGGAAGGAGAGGAGCTCCAAAGGACAGACATACCTGTAGGTAAGGAGGGACATTCAAATGGCCTCAGACCACCTTCCCCTTAACACTACCATGGAAATTCATTCCACCACTCCAAATTATTTGCCTTGCCCCTTAAGAAAGCTCTGACAGTGACGTTAACACTTAAACAGATATTCCAGTTTTCAATTACTAATGAAGTCTATTTTTATATGCACTTTAAATACGACAGCAATAAAGTAGCTCAGATTTCAGCCTCCTACATCGGCTCTTTTACGGCCGGGTAATTATTGCTGAAGTCCTTCAAAATTAAGAAAGGACAAACTGAAGCCTGACATAGTCGTGTCCACCTAAAGAGCCCTTCAGATTTTAACAGATTTCAATAATAAAGTTTGTGATAAATTGAAAGCGATATCACCGGAAATCTGAATAATGTAGATTTATTCTAAGTAACTAGAATTTCAGATGTGTGAGAATCTCTTCAGTAACAGAGCACTGTTTGTTGTGGTGTGGATAGTTTTACAGGCAAAACCACGATAGCCAAGACATTCCCCTCTGAACTGCAGATGCTTTCTCCACTTTTAAAATTTTCATTAGTCTGGACTTCAGACCGGGTCAGCTCCCAAAGCAGTTTGTAACCCGTCTCCTCCCCGAGGAAAGAAATCCCATCTCCCCACTTCCATTCACTCCGCACACCAAATTAACAATCCCTTGGCAAAACAAACACCAATTTAAGAGCCGTGTTGTTTCTCAGCTTGGTGCTCTCCATCACCCCAGGTCGAGCTGACAGGGAGCTATGTCACGGCTTGCTCTAACAAAATAAAGCAGTGGGACAGTGAGGTGGCACTGGATGGGAAAGCAAAGGTGCAGGGCACAGCACAGGTGGGGACCTTGGGAGACAAGAGAGACTGGAGGCACCTGAGTGGTCCCTACGACGAGGCGCTGGCCATGAGAAGTGAGAAAGGGGGAGAGCATCTCAACTGGCGGCTGGGGAAAGCTGAAGGTCAGGAAAAGTGACCTGTTCAGAGGGACTTCATGGAAGAGGTGGATGAGGTGGACGTGGCTAAAATTCAGTGTGAGGGCAAAACCTCTGCACAAACACGAGAAGCCTAAACATGAAGGCAGGGGAACAAGAATTACTGGCACCAGGAGATTACCCCTGTCCTGGTGG